TAGAGAAGAGCAGGTCTTTTCCAGGTGGTTGGCACAGCGATGGGCGGGAGGCAGGGGCTCAAATCGTTCCTCCTGCTGTTGGGACCTCAGACAGCACTGGTGCTGGTATCAGGCTAAACCCTTTTCCGTTGTTGTGGTAGACTAATAATTGGCTGCATAGCCACAGTTTCCAATGGCTTGATTTAATACCTATAGTTCTTTGGAACTGGGGAAAATGTCCTATTAAGCACCCGCCCCCCCACAAACCACCACACTCCTGGCTTCACCCTGTGCCCCAGGGAATTCTTATGAACTGCCTAGGAACCTGGTGAGGCATTTCCCTGTGACTTTTGATTTGCTTATGGTGTCCAACAGGCCATTTCACATACTCCAAAATCAACAAATATCAAGTAAATCATCCAAAAACAAGTGGAAACTGCAATCTGGATAGTTAGCCGATTTAGGCCTTTCATGAACATCTGTCATTGTCCCCCCAGTGGGCAGGCGCCTGGGAGCCCACTGGGGTTATCTCATTCCTCACTGAGCCAAAGACAGATTGGAACAGGCACCCCCTTCAGGAGTTCTCGGTGAGTAGGAATCTTCTCGGCAGAGGTAAGAGATGTGGCCTGATTGAATACGCTCCATGGACACCTGCTGCAGGGCTGGGGGGGGGGGGGGGAGCTTGTGGAGAGGGTTGGCACCAGAGGGACTCCTAGCGCCACTAGCACACAGCCTAGTGAAGAGGTCCCTTTCTGCCTCTGCTGGCTGAGGACAACGACTGGGGAACGCTGGGGTCTCCCCCAGGCGAGTGCGGAACTAGCAGAACTTCCCTTGTGGAAGTTGCAAGGCTTAATCTTCTTGCACGGTTTTAAAGAAGTGTCAGACCCCACCCCAAATGTTTAACGCACAGTGTCTCACTTAATCTTGCAACAGCCCTAAGGAGGTGAAGGCTATTCTCTATTTATGCAAGAAGCAGCTGAGGCTCAGAGGGATCCAAGGAGGAGCCTGGGGTCACGGCGGGGAAGCGCCAGGGCAGGGGTTCGAACCCAGGCTGGCTGGCTCCAAAACGGTCTGATCATCCATTACATGGATGAGACCATCGTCATCCTGTGTGCGTGTGACATAATACATACGTGGACCACACCTCTGCTGGCTCCAGCTTTGTTTTTTTCACTGAGGAGTAAAAGTTCGCAACCCTTGGGTTAGAACCGCCGGGTGAACAGGAGCCGGGGTCCCGGCTGGCTCTGAGCCAACAGTGGGAATCTGGGCAGGTCCCGTGGGCCCCGGGGACCTCAGTTTTTAAGAGAAGGCTGTGGACACAATGCTTGGGTCGCTTCCAGCTGTCATCTTCCACTCCCAGGACAGCACTGTGGTAATCGATCAATTCCCCCGATTAATCAGTAGTCAAACAAAAGCTCGCGTGGGGGCGAGTAGCAGTTTTCCATCGCATTTAGCTGCCTGTCTCCCTCGAAGTGCTTCAGGGGTTAAACCGATAGTTTGGGACCTTTTCATTCTAGAATGATGTGATTTGCAAAATTAAATTTAAAAAAAACAGGAAGAAAGTTTGGGATGGGGGGGCGGTCTCTTGTTAGTGACACAATCGTGGCCTCACTGCCCTAGTGAGGTCCAGGGAAGGGGAGGCTTCTCAGGGGAGCGCGTGGGGGCTGGGAGGTGGGCTGTCCTCAGGGAGGATTCAGGAGATTAGAGAGCATTGAAGAGGTCTCCTCACTGTGGAAGAGAAGATCTGTCAAGTCCCATGCAATTTATGGATAGGGAGCTGCTTTTATATAGGAGGGGGAAATAGAACTCTGAGGTAAGCCTTGAGCACAAACCATTTTCAGGAAAGTTCTGGTGTCTTCCATTACCATCTTATAGAGCCCATTGGAGACAGAAGGATTACCGCCAGACCTTCAGAAAAATCTTGCCATTTGCCATTTGCAACATGGATGGATTTAGAAGGTATAATGCTAAGTGAAATAAGTCAAAGACAAATCCCATATGATTTCACTCATACGTGGAATTTAACAAGAAAAAAAGACTCAGGAATAGAGAGCAAACCGATAGTTACCAGAGCAGCGCCGGGTGGGGGATGGGTGAAACAGGTGAAGGGGATTAAGAGTTCATTTACGTGATGAGCACTGAGTAATGTGTAGAATTGTTGAAATATACACCTGAAACTAATATAACATTGTGTTAATTATGCTTGAATAAAAAAATTTAAGAACTTTAAAGGTATGGGACAGGTTTTGCAAAGAAAGTACTTGGGGGGCGCCTGGGTGGCTCAGTCCTTAAGTGTCTGCCTTCGGCTCAGGTCATGATCCCAGGATCCTGGGATCGAGTCCGCATTGGGCTCCCCGCTCCCCGGGAAGCCTGCTTCTCCCTCTCCCACTCCCCCTGCTTGTGTTCCCTCTCTCGCTGTGTCTCTGTCAACTAAATAAATAAAACCTTAAAAAAAAAAAAAAAAGTATTTGGGACCCCACTTAGGAACCCTTTTCCATTTGGTTGATAGTTTGATCCTGAAAAAGGTTTAAAGTGGTGATAAAAAGTATTCATCTTTAAGGATTTGGGGGGTCCCTTGTTTACAACATTCTTTTCTCATTCCAAGATTTTTAAATGGGCACCTCTCATCTTGGAAACTCCTTGAAGAGGAGACCTTGACTTACCAATATTCGTATCTCAGAGGCTTGCCCCACACCTGGCACGTTATAAGCTTCCGAAGTATTTATTATATATAAAAGAATGCGCCAACTTTGCAAACACCGTAAGCTTGTTGGCTTTTTAATTGGTACACTTATTTAGCACATCTTTACAAAGGTCCTGGAAATGGAACAAGGCTTTCTCACACACCCCAGAAGCCATGAACACATTTTAATATAACCAATAATGATTTTTTCCTGACTATAAAATGCACACAAAAATTAGAAAAGATAGGAACGTTAATGAGATGACCCATGATCTCACTAACACATTACCATTTTATTCCCTTCCAGTTTTCTAAGCACTATTTTTAAATGTGATTATGATTAGGCTATATTCGATATCCTTTTAATTATGTTTTGAGCATCTTCCCTCTGCATATGCATATTTAATAAGTGTCAGAAACGCATCCTGTCCAATACAGAACTTGTGCTTTTCTACCCCCAAAGGAATCTTTTCTTAGTTTTTATTACAAAAACATGAAAAGCATCCATGCAGTTGCTCCAGCCAAATGCCCAGGAATCCTCCTGACTTCTCTTTCCCTCACCACTCCCATCAGCCAATTCAACAGTTCTGTTTCATCTTGAAAACATCCCAGGCGGGCCTGGGTGGCTCAGTTGGTTAAGCGTCTGCTTTCGGCTCAGGGATCCAGCCCCGAGTTAGGCTCCCTGCTCAGCCAGGAGCCTGCTTCTCTCTCTCCCTCTGCTGCTCCTCACCCTGCTTGTGCTCTCTCGCTGTCAAATAAAATTTAAAAAAAAAAAACCCCAACAACAACGTATTCCAAACCACCCACTCCTATCCTTCTCCTCGGCTTGTCCGAGCTACCCTGCTCGCTCGTTTGGGCTTCTGGAGAGGTTCCCTCCTAGTACCACCCTGTCGGGGAACGTGATCAAAGAGACCTGACCGCTGACTGACGGGGCAGCGGGGCCTGGACACGCAGAGGCTCCTCCCCTCCCACCCCTCCTCCCTGGCCTCAGAGTGTGGGCTCTGCTTGCCTTCCGTCTCCCCCAGGCTGCTCCAAGGACACAGCCTTGAGATGGTGCTGGGAGGTTGAAAATACCTGCAGGGTACACATGACTGAGCCCAGTTAGGGCCTTTTACAGACAAGATTTGGAGGGCAGCGCAGGGATCTCTTTGCCTCACTGTCGCCCAAGACAAGACTCCTATGCAAGCGTCCTTTGCTGTTATTAAAGTTACCACCTACCCACCTGGAGAAGCCAGCTGCTTCTTTTCACTCTCTCCCCGCCTGATGGGGGGCCGTTTTAGATCATACGGAAAGCTCCCAAGAAGGTTCTTTTCCAGCAGAACCATCGTTTCAAAAACATAGAAGAGGCTGCCACCCACATGCGTTTCTTTGGGGCTACACTGTATTCTTTTTTTTAAATCAGACAATAAGGGGGCCAGAGGATCTGACCCTGTGTGGTCAGCTGCAGCCACCCTCAAACCCCCTACCGCAGCATCCTCCAGACCCGAGTTCGAGGCTCTCCAAACACCACCTACCCCTACAGCTCTGCCAACCACAGACCGTGTCTCCTTCACCTGCCCAGCCCTGCCAACCACAGACCGTGTCCCTCACCTGCCCAGCCCAGCTCTGCCAACCACAGACGGCGTCCCCCTCACCTGCCCAGCCCAGCTCTGCCAGGGTTTGGCCACACCCAGACCTAGACCCACAAGGTGTTGGCGGGAGAGCAGCCCACAGCTCCCAGGTACACCCCGGCTTCCCAGGCGGTCACCGAGGAGAGGTCTCCTGCTAGAGCCAGCAGCTTTCCCACCGAACCAAATGCCTTCCCAGCACAACCTGGGGCCGAGGGACAATCCGGCCCCTACCCCTGGAAGCCCAGGGGGACTCATGGTACCAGGCTCCAGCTGGCCCTCAGCCTCTCGGGCTCCCCATCCTGGACACTACGCTCCAGAAAAATCCAGGCTTTCTCAGTTTACTGTTCTTTGCACAAGAGGCGCAGAAAAAAAGAAACAAGCCAATGCCACCAACCCGCCGCACACACTCGTTCACATCGAACAAAACGCAGGCACTCACTTGCTTCCTTATGGCCAGCCGTTCCTCAGGCAGCTGCGAGGTGCCTCGAAGTCCCAGGAGACCCACACTGCTGGTTTCCAGAGCCTTCCCCTGAAGACCAGCCTCAACGCAGGGCTCTCTCTCACCCCTCACCCGAGCCCCGCCAGCAGGAAGCGGTCCCTCTTTGGAGCACCGTGGGGGGTTCCTGGTGCTGGGCTCCTCTGAAGGCAGCCGGGGTGCACTCACGGCTTGGGTGTGGGGGGCAGTCAGTGCGGTCCCGATGGAGGGGCAGGCGGGACTTACTAAGCGGGTTGACGCTGAGTAGCAGGTGCTGCGTTTATAGGGACCTTGATTCTCCAATTCACCACAATTTCTTGCACCGTCGTCTCACACCGGGTCGGCTTCACTCATTTACATTCGCTGCCTGACTCCAACAGGTGTGATAGTTTGTGACCCCTGTCTCGTTGAGCTCGTGGCAATCAAAGACCTTGTAAGTCAAACGAATGCTGCCTCAACCTCTCCTGGGACCCCACTTCCGTGGGGCTTGACCCGCAATTCAGGCACTGGGCACTTTTGCAGAACTGAAATGTGATGGTAGAAGAGAATGGCAACTGTTATGCACGAACAGCTCCTGATTCATGAGTTTGTCATCATTACTTGATCCCAGTTGCTCGCCATTTACACTAGGGACCAGGAGGAAATGGGACACATGGCAGGTGCTTTTGGGAAGGGAAGGTGTTCTGAGATGCAGGGGTCAGACAGGATGCACAGAGGAGGGCATCGCTGTGCCACCGACACGCGCAGGAGGTGGGAGACAGGAATCAAGGGTGGAAGCAAAGAAGGGAACCCGACAGGAGCGCCTTCTGTTGCTCTCGGCCACGTCCATTTTCCTCTGTTTCCTCGGTGCCCCTCCATCTTCTCAACTATGCCTGTTTTTGGCACTGAACTGATCGCTTTTCTCAAACACAAACAAACAAACAAAAAACGGTGCCTTCAGCTCCGCGTTTTGAATGAAAATGTGCACGAATGCCCGTGTGGACCGTGCGGAAATAAAGGAGCCCCCAACACACCGAGTCTGCCCAGAATAACATATGCATCAATCAGGGTCTATTTAAAAACATATGCATACTATTTTCTCCCAAGTCATGAAACACACTTGTTATTCTAGACTCTGAAGTCTCACAGAAAGGGTAGAGATCCAGTGTAAAGCTAAATGATCCTCTCAACATCCCGAGGTTGAGCAACGGCCACTGCCGACTGCCAAAGTGTTCAGTCCACTCCTGGACCTTGTCTCTGATTTTGACGAGCATGAATTTGTGCGTGTGATAATAATAAATGCTCCCAACGACCACCACTGGAAATTACGTACCGCTTCCTTCCCCTCCACTATCACTTTCCAAAGGTAGTATTGGCCTAACTGAAAGGAAAAAATGTGAGACCACACCAGGCTCCTGAGGAGTCGTCTCCAGGGGCCTTCCGTCACCCTAGAATGAAACCCAAACTCCTCATGAGCGCCCAGTGGTCCACTGGCGGGCCACCCAGTGGCCCTACAGCCTTCCCGCACAGGCTCTTCCGCGGTCGCCTTCATGCACACCCTCTGCTTCAGGGGTTCTCGACCTCAGCACCGGTGACATTTTGGTCCCCATAGGTCTCTGTTATGGAGGCTGCTCTGTGCACTGTAGGTCGTTTAGAGCCATCTCTGGCCCTACCCACGAGCCGCCCGCAGCGCCCTCCCACACTGTGGCAACACAAATGTCTCCAGACACTGCCAGATGTCACCCGGGTGGGGGACAAAATCAGCCCTGGTGAGAATCTCCAGTCCCATCCCACTGAACAAGCCATGCATCTCCCCACTTAGGCCCCTCCTTACAGCTCTGGCCCCCTTCCCACTCTTCCTTATTCTCCTGTCTGCCTCCTCTGTCTGACCTCGGTGTAGACGTTCACCTCTGCAGAAGGGTCTTCTTGAACTGAGGTGGGCTCTTCAATGTCACCCTGTCCTACATCACTGCATTTGAATTGCCTCATAGCCTTTATCAATACATGAAACGATCGAGTTTATGTGTTCACCATTCCCTCCCCAGATTGTAGTTCCAGGAGAGTAGAAGCTCGTCTGTCTTCGTGAGGTATCCTGGACGTAAGCGACAATACCAGACAGACAGCAGACATGTGACAACTGCCACACGGATACATAAGTGACTCCCTTCTCCATCACTGGGGGCTCTTTGAAGGCCAAGGAGCGGGGGCATGAGGGGAATCACAAAATGCTTGGGATAATTCCAGGCCGTGATTATTTGAGAAAGTCTCGGGAGATTTTGTTCTGACAGCATCCTGTAGCCCCAGCTTTCTTAGTCTGGTGAACGTGGTGCTGGGGGCCCCAGGGGAGTGACCCCACTGATGCAGTCTTCTTACCAGGTGGGTCCCACACATCCTTCCAGGCTCTGACAGGTCATGCAGAAGTGCAGTGGGTCGAGAACAGCCACATCTTGGAGAGGTTATTGACTTGAAGGGAGCACAGAATGTTGTGTCTGGAATAGGAAGCTAAGCCAGGACAGGGAAGGGGCCCTGCTGGGAGCCAAGGTGTGAGAGGGTGGGGGTCACATCGTAGGGGGCCCAGATGACCCTCCCTCCCAAAGCCGCATGGCACCCAACCCCATCCTCCTGACCACCCCTTGGTCACACACACTCCTCATTCACATCTCCCAGGATGCATTTCTGGGGCCCTCCAGCCAACCTCTCCATTCCCTTCTCTTTGCCAAACGTGCAGGGCCGATTCCATCTCTTTCTGACCTCTCTGGAGCTGCTGATTCAGTGAATCGCTTTCTATCCTCATCTTCTCTGCTCTTGGCAGGCCTTACAGAAAAAAAAATCCTTTGCAAGATTAACATTGACCACAAAGGATATGCTTTTCTACCTCTTTTTTTTATCTCATTTTTCAATGTCAATTGGTTCAATTTATTGCAACTACAATTCATTACAATTAAACATTAGAGGCAGGCGCGGTGGGGGGAGGAGGCCATATTGATAGAATGCATATCAAATATTGAAGTTTTCAACATAAAAATAAATCACTCTATTATTTCCTATAGACATGCAACTGCTCAAAACAGCACCCTCCCTGGTGGCAAAATTGAGTATCGATTAGCATCTAACACATGCCCACTGAACTTGATTGAGCTGAGCATCCAGGACTCCTTGTGGCTTTTTTTCCCTCGAGAGAGAAACCCAAGCAAGAGCCTGTGGTTCTCTCCCCAACAGCACCAGTGTGTGCAAGGCTGGGGTATCTGGTGTCTGGCCTCACAGGAATTTACCATTTTTGTGGCTCTGTGGTGAGGTCATGTTGAGGAGTGTTCTGATTTCAGCTGCTTTTCCACCTGGATAGATCTTGGTGACAATGCTCAAGAAGTGAACTGCAAAAAGAATTGGTGAATTACTGTTTGAGGACAAAATTCCAGACTATTTTACAAATTTTACCAAGGCTATATTAAACTGTCACACACACACACACACTGGATGCCCCGGCTACAACTCAGCTCTAAGAATTTTGAAATCTTGGTAGAAGATACTGGATTCTAAAAACTGCTGAGAGGCTTTTCGCCTCAAGTGGCTCAACCTGGTACGTCATTTTTGAAGCTGCCTCCACTACAAAATCTACTTCCAATACACAGATGTAAAGAACCGTTTTGTTCTAGGAAAGCCATGAAGTAAGCTGAATGCACACTTTTAGATGAAAGGCAGAGTCTTCCGTCTGGGATTATAAAGCCGTTCCCGCCTGCCCCAGCAACACATATCCCCGTGTATAATTCCCCGGGCTCATATACTCATCTGATAACTATTGACAGGGGTATCTCTTTCTATCAAGCAAATTGAGATACAGAAAAAAAAATCCCCTAGCTGCTCCAGCCAATTAGATGGGGTTTCGGTTGCTGACATGTGGAGCATCCGAACCCCTAGAAATGCACTCAGAGAGAAACTGACAGCTGGGCTGGGGGTGAACTCTTGTCGTGGTTTCCCAGGGCTGCCATGACAAAGTACCGCAGCCAGGTGGCTCATCCTCTCCTAGCTCTGGAATCTAGAAATCAGAAGTCAGGTGTCGGCAGGGCCGTGTTCCCTCTGAAACATGAGGGAGAGGACCTTTCCTTGCCTCTTCCAGCTCCCGGTGGCTGTCCGTGATCCTTGGTGCTCCTTGGCTTGCAGCTGCGGTGCTCCAGTCTCTGCCCTTGTCACAGGGTCTTCTCCCTGGGTGTCTGGGTCTCTGTGTCCAATTTTCCTCTTCTTATAAAGACACCAGCCATGTTGGATTGAGGTCTGCTCTAATCCAGGAACGACCTCATCTTAAAGTAATTATATCGGCAAAGACCCTATTTCCAAGTAAGGTCACATTCTGAAGTACGGAGGGGTAGGACTCGAACATATGAATTTAGCGAGGAGCACAGTTCAACCCAGAGCAGGGTCTTTCCCAGGAACTCCAGTGACAATACCCTGATTGCTCTCAGAAACAACCGGGGGCAGGGGGGAACCTCTGTGGGGAGCCAAGAGATCCAGCCATGGTAGGGCCCCCCTGGCGTACTTGGACCAGTGATCCCTGTGTTGATCAGTTATGGAAGGGGCTCATCCTTGATGAGCCTGCACCACAAACTGACTACTGATTCTAGAACCTGCTCTGATTCATGTCGGCGTCCCTCGCAGTGATGCCTGGAGCCGTGGAGCCAGGGAGCCAGATGCCATTCCCTTAGACAACTCTGATGTGCACATGCCCTGAGATAGGGCACCTGCAGGTAGAAGGAGAGGAGGCCATGGCCCCACCCTGGGAGTTGTGTTCTTCAAGCCCACACAGCGTCAGCATTGCTACAGACCCGGGGGGTGAGCGCCGTGGGCCGGGCATGTCCACGTTGGCCGGGCGTGAGGGGTGAGGGGCCTTTTCGCTGGAGACCCCACCCCAGAAGGGCGAGGTGGAGGGAAGGGCTTGATGAGGAAGATGTAGGGTTGGCTTTGTCCTGAGCCCCGTGCTGTGCATCTACTGACGCTCCACAAACCCGAGTACAGCGTTGGGACAAGAGACAGGGGCTGGGGCCAAGGTGGGCATCTGGAGTTGGACTCGGTGGGCGAGGGGCTGGATCATGTGCTGGGCAGGTCAGAGGTCAGGGCAGAGGAGGGAGCATGATGATGTGACAGTGGCTTAGGATAGCCACTCTGGGAACCTGAAGGGTAATGACAACGCATCCTCAACAGCGCTTTGGGGGCAGTGGGGATTGGCACAGCGTTTTTGATGGGCCCTGTGTTCTCAGAGCCGTTGGGGTACTTTGCCCACCGTGCTTCTTACCGCCGGCCGCCCGCCAGAGCCGCTGGGGAGGATTCAAACACACTCATGCCAGAAGCTCACCCTGACAGAGTCGGATTTAACTGGCCTGGAGGTAGGACCTACACGAGTATTTTTTAAAGCACCCTGGGTGATTCTACTGTGCAGCCAGCGTGGACAATCGTAGTTCCTGCAGGCCAAGAGAAGAAAATGGCGAGTTCCTTTATCAGCTCCGGGTCTGGGAAGGACTCAAGCATCAGCTTTCACAGGAGGCTGAAAACCAGAGCACTGGTTTTCCCCGAAGAGCACATTCTGACAGATTCATTCACCTCTGGAGCCTCGCTCAGAGCAGAGAGGACGAGCCTGGCAGGGCTGCCCCATCCCAGAGCCAGCCGGTCTGGAGGGCGAGGCCGCATCCCCGGTAAATGGACGCTGCTTCTCAGAATTTCCACGTCTGTGAGGGAGGGCGGCAGCGCTGACAAGGACGAGCCAGAAAGGAACGCCAGCACCAGCGTGGCGCCCACTGCGGTCACCAGCAGGAAGAGCGGCGGGACCCTCGCAGGGCCTGGAAGGCGCCCCTGGGCCAAACAGCACAGAGGCATATCCTTGGGGGTGACAGGGGGTCAAAGGTAGGGGCTGGAAAGACACGTGCAACGGGAGCCTCTCCCGGAGCTCTGCCCCTGTGGGTGGGTAACCCCCACAAAGAGAGAGTACCCCCCCATCCCACTTCTGCTCCGGAGCTGGGAGTGTGGGGCATCCAGCCCTCACTTCTAAACTGTAGGTCTGGTTCTTACATACACGGCAAACTCATTAACCTTTCAGCTTCAGTGGGGTGGAAAAATACCAAGTCACCTCGCAGGCTTTCCAAAGGTTATTTCACATTTCAGTGCCTCCAAGAAGCACTGAGGATCCTCATCACGGTTTCTTCGCCCTCCCTGAATCCTCTCTCTGGTATTCACTTAAACCAAATTTCAGTGCATAGCTGGCTTGAACTTGGAGACTGACACAGGAAAGCACGAGGGTTCGCGCATTGGTTTCCTTCACCAAGTTGTAAGTTGAAGGCATCTTATTGTGGAGGCGCCAATATATTTATACAGTGCCCTGCAGTTTATGAATCACTTACATATTATCACCTTGCAGTTGTTTTCCTAGAAGTTAGTACAGAAAGGTGTTACTGAGGGCGCCTGGGTGGCTCAGCTGGTTAAGCGACTGCCTTCGGCTCAGGTCATGATCCTGGAGTCCCTGGATCGAGTCCCGCATCGGGCTCTCTGCTCGGCAGGGAGTCTGCTTCTCCCTCTCCCACTCCCCGTTTGTGTTCCCTCTCTCGCTGTGTCATTCTGTCAAATAAATAAATAAAATCTTTAAAAAAAAAAAAAAAAGAAAGGTGTTACTGAGAAGAGATAAAATATTCTGAAAAATACACGTAGGACAATGAAAAGCTTGACAATGTACAGAATTTTTTAAATATCTTAAGCTTAATGTCTCGGACTGTGTAACACTCTCAAGTTGTTCCAGAAGACTCACACCAGACAGAGACCTTGTCAGAGAATGCTTGCAGGAAACAGACACCGAGAGCTACTTCACCCCAATTTCTTCATTTTGGAGAAGCCAAAGACAACGGGGGAGTTTCTTAGCGATCCGGGAAGCCATCCTTGGGTTCAACGTCAGTGGATGCCACAGGTGGGTTTACTGGCATTCTAATTCTCCTGGAGCCTTGAGAAAGCCACATTTTGGGAGTCACTGAGATCACCCATGTGGGCCTTGGTTCTCAGTCATTTTGCTGTCCCAACACGCCTGGGCGAATGGCTTTCCCACCAGGTACCATGGGGCTCTGAGAAAGGGTGATGATTCTAAGTGGCTGATCAAGGATCTTTGGAGGAAAAGAAGGGCACATATGTAGTTGGAAAAAGCTCTATCCCTTGCCACACCAACACTCACCCAGCTGAGAATCACTCATGGAAACATCTGTCATCAGTACTTTCTGGGTTTGAGAACTTTGAGTGGGTGGTGGCATCTCTTGGCAGAAGAGGCCCCAGGGAAATGGAAGGCATGTTAAGGCAATGCCCTGCCACTCACCTTTGATCCACTCAGGACTCCCAACCCCTCACCTCAAATTTCTCACTTGCTGTGTGACACACAGTCTCTTGGACAGCTCACCCTGAACTCCACCATTGTCCGACTGCAGAAACAAAGAGAAACAATGCCCACTCAGGATGGGTACCCTCTCCATCCACCCCTGGAGGGATTTCCCACAGATTTACTCCCCTTAGGAATTCCCATACAAAATGATAAATATCCCTGTAATATAAAATAAAATTAAATAAAACAAAATAAAATCAAAAGACAGACAATGCCAAGGGTTGATGAGATTTTGGAATAATTAAAACTCTTATGTACTGTTAAGGGGAGGATTTCCCAATGAATGTTTAGAATCAGCTTGCCAATTACATAAAAATCTTGGTATCTTAATTGAGATTACTTCAGATCTATAAAACAATTTCAAATAAATGACATTTTAACAATATTGAGGTCTCCTTTCCATGAACTTTGCAGATCCATCCATTTGCTCAGGTCTCCTTTAATTTTTTTCAGTGATGTGTTATAGTTCTCACTGCAGAAGCCTTGAACATCCTTTGTTAGATTTCTTCCCAGGTATCTGATGTTCTCTTGACGTAGTTGTAAAAGCCACCGTTAAAAAAATATATTTTCTAGTTACTCCTGTGGGCACAGAGAAATACAGCAGATCTGGGGTGTTTTGAATCCAGCAAATTGGTTAATGAGACAGTTCTTGTGCTTAATCTTCCAGGGCACTAATTCCAATCTCACAATGACTACAATTTCTTTTGATTCATCTGCTGCATTTTAAACTTTTGAGACGCATGTGCGTTAAGCTCCGTGTGTGTGCGCACACACACATGTACAAGTGTGCTGCAAGTGCCCGTCCTTAAGGGCACTTACTACTTCTGATTTGGTGCTCTTGGCCTCCTTGAGCCGAGCTGTGTCCCTACAAAGTATTCTTGTGGTGTGGTTCTGCCTTCTATCCTGTCAGCTGCTGGGCTGCCTCATATGGAGCTACCATTCTCTGTGGACTTTCCTTAGTGCCAGGAATCTCACACACAGTGAAAGAAAAAAGGAGTCTCTGTCCCTGTGGACCTAAGTGACAAGGGCTATCAGAGCCTTAGGGGCCCCAGAGGGACCCTCTCTGTCCTCCACACAATTCTATCTCAAGCACAGGGATACCTCAATCCACCAGTCTGCTCCTCTTGGCCTTTTGGGGTCAGGGTGAGCCTGGACTATTTTTACCCAGAACACTCTGACAACACATGCCTAGGTTTTTTCCATACCAATGATTTTTCCAACTCTCCGGATGCCACATGAGTGCCCTACGATTGAATTCAAGTCTGACGACCGACAACCTGGAGTTAGCGTCAGATTCTACAGATCTGAGGGCTCAGTCTCAAGACTGCCCCACTTCAGACACCAGTCTCAAGTCCTAGGCCACCCATGCTTCGGACTGACCAGCTATGAATCAGGGGTTCCCACAGCCCCCTCCTCAGATTGAATAATTTGCTAGAACTGCTCACAGAACTCAGGGAGACACTTCTTTTACCAGGTTTATTATAAAGGATGAAACTCGGGAACAGCCAGATGGAGGAGATGCACAGAGCAAGGTATGGGGGCTGGGGTGCAGAGCTCCCATGGCCTCTCTGGGTGTTCACCAATCCGGAAGCTCATCAAATCTCTCCCATCAAGAGTTTTTACAGAGCTTAATCTCCAGGCCCTACTACCCTTCCGGGTGGCTGGTAGGTGGGGCTGGAAGTTCCAACCCTCTAACCACTAGTTTTTTCTGGTGATGGAGCCCATCCTCCTCGGTCTTTCTAGGACCAAAAACATCCTTAGGCTATCTAGGAACTCCATTTTAAGTTACCTCATTAGCATAAACTCAGGTGAGACCACAAGAAGCTCTTTATGAAGGAGCTCTTTATAACAAAAGCCATCCCTGTCACTCAGGAAATTCCCAGGTTTTAGGAGCTCTGTGACAGGAACTGGAGACAAAGACCAAATATATTTCTTATACCACAGTGCCCCTGCCCAAGCATACGGTCACTTTTTTCTTCTTCAGGAGAGACTACAGACCCCTCAACTTCTTCTTAAACTGTCCCCTTCTGGTTCTAGCTCTGCCCTCTGTGTCCAATTCCCAGTAGGTGACTCTGACTTTGGAGACCCCAGCAAAACTCACTCACAATTAGCCACCTGCAGGTTCCAGCAACACCTGCTCAGGTAGGCAAGCATCTTGGAACTGAGTGTGGAAGAGAAGTGGGAGACCATGTTCAGGGCTGAGGTTCCCAGCCAGCTAGGTTTCTCTTGGCGAATTGGCCTATGGCTTATTTGTTGGGTATACAGTTAGAAGCATGGCAGGACAATCCACTGATATACAAGCTTTGTCATTCATCTAATGTTTTTCCCCCTCTCTCCATTTCATGTAAGTAAGCAAGGCTCTGAGTGACCTCTCCTCAGGGAAGGTCTGAAGATAAATCTGCTTAATGTCATGGCTCTGTTTCTTCTGGGACCACCTGAGGAGATCTTTAGGGGCTTTAAGAAGTACAAGGAAAGAGGTTGATGGGGTCAAGACTAGCAAGACCCCAGGTCCCTGGTGAAGTGCCAGTATTCAGAAAGGATGCCTATGGAGGGTGCCAGGTTGCCCAGCCGACTCCCTGGACACTGGAATTGCCAGTGATGACAAAGAGTTTTGGGCCTTCAAGCAGAGCACGGCTGGTTAGCTTCTGACTCGGAGACACCATGCAAGCTTGGGCACTCAGTAGCAAGCAGGAACGATGAAAGACAGGGGGATCTCCCAGGTGCTTAGGGTTGGCCAAAAACATCAGAAGCTCAGTTCTGGGCTGGAGAGTATGTGGGTATGGTGGAGAGGAAGCTAATGTTAGTCAAGATTGGGTTTCCTGCTAACTTGGCAGGATGGAAATTGCTATGGGTTGAATTGTGTCCCCTCGAAAAAAGATATTTTGAAGTCCTAACCTCTAGTATTACAGAATGTGACCTTATTTGGAAATGAAGTCTTTATGAAGTTATGAAGTTAAAAAAGTTAAGTCACAAGTCAAAATGAAGTCACTAGGGTGGGCCCTATATGACTGTGTCCTTATAAGAAGGGAAATTTGGACACAGAAATAGGCACATGGGGAGAACACTATGAACTCCAGAACTGTGAGACATTTCTATTGTATAAGCCACCCAGTCTGTGGCACTTCATTATGGCAGCCCTAGGAAACTAACAGAGATTTAGAACTGGATTTAGGGAAAATTAAAAACATAGTGTTTCTTACACACCAGTGAGTGGTGAACTGAGGTTCCCACTAGCTAGTGACAGGAGAGCTAATTTCCTGAAAGTCAGTGCGGTTTTATGGGAAAAGTTCCTGAAATTGTACAGTATCTTTCAGCTATCCATTGAAGATTAGAAGGAGAGGAGGCTTTCTCTTCTCTGGAAAGCCCTCTCCCCTTCCTATAGTACTACAAGAGCATGGTGAAGTAAATTCCATGTCACTGACAAGGAGCATGACAGCCAGAGAGGGTGGAGTTCAAGAACATAACTTTTGATTCTTGGCCCCGGGGACATCCCTTCATTCTTTCTGAAAGAGAACTCTCAGGACGTTCTTTCCTCTGTGGTCAAATCCTCCAGGTTGGAATTTCTCCTTATTGTCAGATTATGATCCAGTGTCCTGGCAAAAAAACAGAGATAAAAATAAAGTTACCATGGCTATATTGAACAAAGAAGCCACTGTTATGAGGGAAGAATGAGAAAAGCTTTCCTCGGCCACTATACATGTGAAGATGACCGGAGGGTGCTGGGAGGCAGCTAGCTCAATAGGAGCCGATCAGATTCTGCGTTTGGTAAGGGAACTAACGCAGGCTTAGTGGCATAAATAAAGACATGGTTTGCATGGTCTGTACGTCACCAGAAACAACTATGCTTGGTGTTGGTCCGACCACCCTGTGAATACCATGTTCATGTCTAGGATCCAATTGTCTCGGGGTTTCACCATACTAGTGCTATGTTGAGAGCACAGGCAGGAGGAGGTGGGTGCTGGGAGCCAAGGCATATGAGGAAGGTGCTGTTCTTGGCCTGGACAGGAGTCCAGGGTGGGAACTAGATAACCCCACCATGAACACCAGAAGGCAGGCTTAGGTCTGACTTGGGAGGTTCTAGGTTCTAGAATGCAGCTGGGGAGGGAGTGAACATTTCATGCTGGTTCAAATGGAGCTGTCAAACAAGGGGTCCCAGAGTGGAAAACAGCTGCCCCAGAAAGTATTGACACCAAAGGTAGATGGCCATGGAGGCAGCCTGTGGGGGAATAAGAGAGACTCACTTCCTAAATTCTAGGTTCTCAATGCCTCTCACTGCACACATATTTTCTAGTAAAATTATACTTCATTAATTTCATTTTTAGCATAGGGAACTCTGAGGTTGCGGTAAGTTTAAGAAAAATCTTTCTTTTTCATGAACAATAACAAAAACAGTAAGAATACAAGCAACTAGGGAAATTGAGAAGAAACATGAAGGGTCTTACAATTTGTCATGAGGCCACTAGGGGGCAGAGGAAGATAGCTAGTTGGAACCACTAAAAAACACTGCAATCCCAGTCCTTTTTTCCCCACTACAAAATGCTTGAGTAGAAAAGAAAAGGTACAATACAAACCCAAAATGGTTTGCTTTGCCATTATCAAGAATTTCCAGTGTTCTGAGGTAGCTTATATTTCATGTATAGAATGTTGAGTATCAAATGCAACTCTACCTTTAACTGAAATTCAAGTCAAAATTCAACCACACCTACAGTTCAGGCTGTGCCTCTGACCTTGCAGTGAGAACAAACCGGCCCCGGGGGGG